TGGATGATTTCAAAAAATTCAGAAATAAATCGCTAGGAAGAGTGTGTTGTTGCCATGTGTGAGGCTACTCGATATCTCAGGCTGATTTTTGACCTAAGCCAGGCACATTCTTTATCCATGTGCCGCTTTTTGCTACTGTTCTCCATCAAATAATTGATGATTTACAAAGAACAAAAGGGTAAGTCTTAACCCTTTTATTTACTGCCTTTATATTTTTAATGGCAGAGTATGTTGCGAAATATAACTCGTATATAATGCTGAGATATTTGCAAAAAGATCAATAGAACTAGCTGAGAGACAGGCAAATGAAGAACCCGGATGGTATTTCAGCATAATATACAAGTTATATTTTGCAACATACCCTGCCATTAAAAAGAAAAAGGCAGTAAATAAAAGGGTTAAGATGGTGTGGTGGTGAAGTGCGCTACACTCCGGTGAGGACACTAGCGCGTTCGTTCCCCACCGCATACACCTTCGGTCCGGTGTTTTGCAAATATCTCAGCATTATATACGAAAAACGATTAGTGTTTAGAAAAAGCTGTTTGCTTTTGGAATACAATTTTTGCATTGTATTTTAACTACTGTTTTTATGAAAATGTTTGACGGTGCCAATTTGGCTCTTCCAGGCACTAATGAATGAGAAACCATTAAAACTTCAGTATAGTTAGTAAATACATTAGTAATAACAACCAGGTGTTTGTTCAACAAAAAAAGCTTTTCGGTGATTTGCCAATGTGTTGAATGTGTCTCTCTAACCTCCCAAATAAGCCTCACATCGTTTGCAGATTCTAGAGGGATGAAAATCTTGATTTGCGCTAGGCACGTGAACGAGCCAAGTACTGAGCGTATTTCGCAGGACGGATCAACTACCCTGAGGAAGACGATGACGTCGAGACGTTGGATAAATAAAGTAATTTATCAACTTCGTATTGGGCTATAAATGAAAGAATGCGTCTTGACTACTGAAACTGAAGTTAGAGGAAAGTCGTTTTTGGAAACTGGTTGGTACTCTCTAATAAGTATGAACCATAATAAATCACATTATCCAAGCATAAACAAACTAGCTCAAAAATCTTCATTCAGCGAAGCCCTGTATATATATACGTATAAGCTTATATATATACATATATATGTATATATATACGTTCATGTACATATATAACGAAAAACAGGTATGCAGTATATACAGCATATACATACATATGTAGTTCAGTATATACATATAAATGTACATATTTGCATATATATGCACTGACAAGAGCGGCAGCATTGTAAAGGGGAATTGACTTAAGATGGGATTAACAACTTATTGTGAAGTGGGAGCTGGGATTCATGGTCAGTTGGTCCTAACGGAATTTCATTACTGTGTTGCTTAATAATTCATAAGTTTTTAGGATTTGAAGGACGTGATGATATAGTTGCTACCACAAAAAGTGATGGATCTACTCCAGAAGTGTTTCTCAATATTTTACGACTGATTCACAAGTTTCGTACCACAATACGCTGCTCCGGTCTTTATAAAATTTACTAGGACTTTAGAGAAGACAAGCAAAGAAATTAGACGTCGTAGAGATTCCGTTCTAATACTGCATACCTGTTTTTCGTTTTGAGGTTTTTAAAAGTAAAGAAATCGGCGTTACAAACTAGAGAATTAGTTCCATAAGTGAGATATACCGCCTACCACATAGATCACCCAGATAGAACCTACTCAAAGCTCGCTGGTTCTTTACATGACGGACGTGTGAATGGAACGATATCTTCATTACCTAGTGACTAATAAAGAATCTATGATAAATTTCTGTTAAAGAACTCATTAGTAAATTGGTTACTCAAAATAACATTCTCTTCCAACGAAATTTAAAACGCCTTTATTTAGAGGGTAGTTAGAAAAATCTAGTCAAAGAAAACATGGTGTAAAAAATATTTTTTTCAATGATGTTGAGATATTTGCAAAACTCCGAACCGCAGGTATCTGCGGTGGAGAACGAATGCGCTATTGTCCTCTCCGGGGAGTAGCGCGTTCATCACCACACTATCCGGGTCCTTCGTTTCGCCTGTCTCTCAGCTAGTTCTATCAATCTTTTGCCATCAGCAATCACCCGTTATCGGGACAAAACTATTTTTTTCCGTTGTTTGAAACAACAGCATCGATTTTGTTTGCACCAGCAATGGACATTATCTCCTTTTCGAATTATTGCAATTTTTAACAGTTAGATGGTTAAGAAATGTGGACTTCCAGTTCTTACATCATTCTTGAGTAGATGGTCATTTCTTCATATCTATTTTCGTTCTTCATGTCATTTTTAATATCTCGTCAAAATCAACTTACAGGTTCACTGGGTGAAGGAATCGCTGCCGAAAAGTGCTTCCTACTGACCTGCGTCGTGGTGAAGACCAGAAAACCCCCTTTGCAAGGTTAAATCAGAAAATCTGAAAAGTTCAAATTGTTTAATGAGCAATTTTTTAGCTTTAATAACCACTGTCTGCACCCGTTCATGACCTCAAACAGTGAGAAGGCCATGAGACCACGCAAAATATTGGTCTACGCAGTACAACTCTGAGACCGGATCTGGTGAACAAACATACGACATGCCGTGGAGATTATTTCTTGCTCTGCATGTATAATACCGAGGCACTCTCCTCAGTTGCCTATTTCCACGCTCTTTTGAAGCCGCTTATCGCACCAGTGTTAACTAAACAAGGGAGCCATTGTCATCTGCGGAGAAAAGGTCTGGTCAGGAAATTTCGGCACCGTTTCCTCCTCACTCATCTGTCCATTGTCCATCCTGTCGACTTGTGCAAGATTTCCTCAACAGAAGTGTCATAGAAACATCATTAACATTAGTCACCACCTACGAACCGGTGCAGATGATAAGTACGATCTAGATGCGTGTCACTAACAGTTGGAAGTGCTACCCTCAATGACAAACCGTGTCATAGAAGTGTTGTAGAAGACTTCAACGTTAGAGTAGGAAAGATCACCGAGGTTTCCATGATCGTGAGATTTGGATTAGGAAAAAGAAATGGTAGTGGGAACCGCCTTGAAGCATATCATTCTGCAACACGCCTCTTCCAAGGAAACTGGCTTTTCCAGAATAATGGAAGTTACCGTTGGTAATGGGAGTCTCTTAACGGCATAACGCATGCGGAAAACGACCATATTCTGGCAAACAGAAGATGGTGCCTACTTGACACGTCGGTAGTACAGGCATTCTGTGCTAGTTCCGATCACCGCCTTCTTCGCGTGAAGGTTCGATTCAGCCATAAGATGGAAAATATTTCATGTCATTGACCGCGAGGAAAACCTTTAACTGTATATGACGGAAGAATTCTGAACAAAATCCTATCCAAACGTGACTGTCATAATAAGGAAGATCTGACCGAATACTACGAGCTACTTGTCGATGAACTGAAAAACTGCACCGAATTCGCTTCAGCTGCTCAAGCAAGAAGATCGGATCTCACCTCTATTAGCACTAAGGAGTTGCTCGAAGAGGAAGAAACTGAATTTTGATCCTAATGAAAGACGTTTAACACTGCTAGTAATAAAATGCCATCTGTAGGAAAGCTTTGTAGAATGATCTATATCGGTACAGGCAAAAGGAACTACCGGAATAAGCAGAGGAAAGACGTGGTCTGAAAAAATGTAGTCGAGACTTGTGCGTTTGTAATGTCCCACTGTCAGCCCTGATGAACAAAAATTATATCACTAAATGGGTTATTAAGAAGTGATGGGTTGAATATGATTGCATCTAGAAGATATTATAAAATGTAGAAGCAATTCGATTTGGCTACAGATTTTCTGAAGATAAAGCTATTCCACCGTCAAAATTGATTAGATCAGTGGCAAACGTTCAATTTTATATCAAAATCACATTCATCTGTCTATCAGAATACATTAATAGGTAATTTATTGAATCCGAATTTCTAAATGACAACTTCCTTTGAAAAAAGGCATTTTTAGAGACTATTTTCGTCAAATCGTTAAGGATGAGGAGGAGGTGTTAATGCATGAAGACGCCTCTTTCTTTGGTAATCATCTGAAATCTCGCCTCAGCTGTGAAAACTGACAAGTTGCAGAAAAAAATCACTAATACCGGTTTCATACAGAACGAGTAAAGGAGGTTGTTCAACAAACAAAAAGCTTCACGGGCTTCATTCAGTTGACAATAGATTTTATCGACAGACTAAAAGATCGCTTGTCTCACCAAAATATTATAAAATGTACATATCAGCAAATGACCGGTTTCAATGTGTCAATCTCTTGAGATTCCATGCATCACAACACCATCATCCTATGGAGAATCGTTTATAAGTCAATACACAGATTTTTTTCTCAAAGAATTTTGTACACTGTGCTTATGATCCATACTGCTGATGTTATTGGCAGAGTATCAGTTTCTTCAGGCGCATTTCTAAAAATGTATGCTCAGATGAGATCACTCTTAAACATTTAAAAAATTTTCAAGTGTTTGTACAAAAGGTTGCCCCAGGTTCATGCAAAGTAGCAATTGCCACCAGAGTACAGCGTATTAATATTATGAACAAATATTTGTAAAGTGATGCTGACATCACTGTCCTTGAAGTCAAGGAAAAGAAACTGCTAAGCGTTTTCTAGATGCAAAGACAACTCATAGACATTAGTGTCAAAGTGCGAATGCATTAGTGCATTTTTGCTTATACACATTGTATTATAAAGGTGACATTTGGGAAAAACTGCAAACAACTGCGAGCAACATGGGAAATTAGGAGTGACCTACAACAAATAGCCTGCTCTCAGGGAGAGTCTGGCAAGCGACCAGTGAGTCTATCGAACCCCTTCCCCCTATTCCGAGCTCAGAAAGCTATATGTGAGGATTAAAAGGCTAAACACAGCAAAAGGAGCGGGTCTCATTCTCCGACCCCGAAAGAGCCCTCAATTTCGTAGCGTTGGGAGGACGAGTACGGACACGCTGCTAAAATCTCAGAGCCAATGGAAACTGTCTGGATTACAAAGAACTATGGTGACGATCTGTACCTGCAATGCACGTACACTTGCACGTGAGTCCTCGATAGAAGACTTGACCATACAGGCAGGAAGGATGAGGAACGACGTCATCGGCCTGGCCGAGGCGAGAAGACGCCAGCCTTTCAACATCGCCTATGACACCGGAGAAGAACTGTTCCTCGGAACATGCGACAGTAGAGGAGTCGGTGGCGTCGGCGTTGTCGTCAACACGAGTTTTCCCATGAACATCGATTCATTCGAACAACTAACAACCTGAATCGGACGTTTACGATTAAAGCGGTGCGGATCAATGCCAGCTTTGACAATCTTCGTCGTTTACGCGCAGACATCAAACTATGACGAAGAAGAAGTCAAAGCGTTCTCTATTGACTTCGATAAGTGGAGATTTCAACTCTAAGACTGGATCCATAGAAATGTCTAAAGAACGTCACATTGACACTGAAGGATTAGAATTTAACGAGCAGAGTAACGGCTGCCTGAGTTCATCATGACGACAAAGGACAGCAACTCGCACGAGAATCCTCACCGTCAACGCTGGACCTTGGAGTCGCTAAGTGAAGAGTACCATAACGAGGTAGATATGGATAATAAATCATAGTAAATCGAAAGTTTTATCGAAATGATGTCGCCGTTATCCCAAAATTCAGCACAGAATCAGACCATCACCCTTTCGTGCAAGATTTTATCCCACGCAGAATGACCACTCAATCCAAAAAAGGAAGCCCAAAGCCACCACAAACGTTGATTTATTCAGTTAATTAGTTGGTTGCTGGTAAGATGGTTTTGTCGACAAATCAGTGTAGCATAACATCGATGAGTAATACGATCAGCTCATTTGACATTTCCACGTTGGCACAATGAAAGCTGAGATTTCGAAAGCCACCAATAGATCTCTATCTCCAGCAACACACAAGCTGATGCACCAGCATGGAATTGCACGAGATTAATAGCCAAAACACGTCTAAACTTACAAAACAATGCAGACAGACAATAAAAGAAGATCTTAAAGAGAGAAGAGCGGCAGATGTGGTCGAAGTTGCAGAGGCTGGGAAAAGCATTCGTAAAGCCCACCCAAGCTTCGCCAATTACAAGACCAAGATTATTGCACTCCGACTCCCAGACGGAACAGTTACAGCATTTAGAAATGCAGTGGAGAAAATCATTAACGAATACTACCCGGAACTCTTCGATAGCCACTCCTACCTTCCGTTATATGAAATAAAGCAGGATGGATACATTGCGACACCGGTTCTCCCTGCATACCACTTCGTCGGTGAAAAATCCAACAGCACCAGGTCCGAACTGGATAAGACTTGAAGAACTGGACAAGCTTCCGCGAGTCCTCGTAACACACTGCCTCGGTTGTTCACACGTTACCTCTCCGAATAAAAGGTCCCTACTCAGTGGACAAGAGCGTGCTATTGTTGAAGAACCTTCACGATATCGGCAACTATTGCCCAATCTGCCTGCAGTCTGTTGTTTGCAAACTTTTCAGTTAAGTAATCCCAAACAGGATTGACAGAACACTAGACGAAGAAGAGCCATGTGTGCAGACAGGGTTTCAAAAAGGATTTAATGCGATCACCACATCCACAAGATAGCAAGGCTCCTTGAAGTATCACGAGAGTACAAAAGGCCGCTCTGTCTCAGTTTCATCGATTTACAGAAGGCCTTTGATTCAATTGAGATAGAAGCCGTCAAGGAAGTCCTTGATAGTCAAGGAGTCCCTACTCAGTACATGAAGATTCTTCGTGAGCTGTGCAAAAATTTCATGACCAAGACATCGCCATTCTACAACGGTATTAACATTGACGTCAAAAGAGGAGTTAGGCAAGACGATTATTTACCGTCACTCTCCAGAATGTCATGCGGACATTGAAATAGGATAATATGGGAGTAGAAATCGATGGTCGGCAGACAGTTACATCATCTTCGTTTTGCTGATGACATCGACCTTATAACACGAAACAATTAGCCAAGCGGGATGTGTGCTTGTCCACTTTGATAAAGCCTGTAAAAAGATTGGTCTTTGACTAAATCTCACAAAAACGATGTTCATGAAGAACGGATTGGTTTCGTATGCCCCATTCACGCTCAATGGAACGAATATCTCCGAATACTCCAATTATGTCTATCTAGGTCGGGAAATCAATGTAATGAACAACTTAGCGCCAGAGCTGAACAGAAGGGAGCGAGCGGCTTGGGGAGCTTTCAAGAGCATCGAGGATGTAGTGAAGAGAACAAAGAACACCCGACTCCGTGCCCACCTTTTCGATTAAACGCTTAAACGCTACATCCTGCCCTAACGTATGCGTTAGAAACCTGGTCGCTGCGTTAGCAGGTTGAGAGATCACTCAGTGTCATCGGACGTGCAGTCGAAAGGACGGTGCTAGAAGTTTCCCGTTCCACACAAGGGATGTGATCTGAAGCTCCGACCTGCGTTAACGATCAAAAGTGAAAAATGGCGTTCTGTACGCCAAACAGTCGGAGATAAGGTTGGCCGGACACGGAATGCGTTTGAGTGACAACCGATGGGAAAGAACCGTTAGTGACTGAATTCCTCGGGATGTTAAACCCACTGCAGCAAGACCACCGACTTGATGGTCAGAGTGCTTCGCAAAGAGCCTAGAAGAAAGATATGATGCCCGACTAATCTCTAGAGTGAGCAGAACCCGCTGGGCTGCACTTGCACGCGATAGGGAAAATGGAACATTGACTGGAGCCCGCTAGAGTCACTCGATAATCAATGGGACCACAGGTGATACAGGAGACCAAAAAGTGTTCTTTTTTCCAGTTGTTTATACTAACAGCTTTGCATTTCTTATGTAAGATATAAGATGTAAACATAAGATGCTCGCTTGAGTCATTCGACAATCAGTGGTACGATAGGTGATACAGGTGTGAGTACAAGTCTTCTTCAAAGAAGATCTCAGTAATACCCTTGCTAAACTTTTCCAATCCGGTGACCAACTTCTGCCGCCTTCGAAATTGCATATCCTAAAGAATATCGCCATCATGCCAATAATAGCAGCTAAAGCAATGAAAACGCTCTACATTTAGAGAATTTGTGGAGAGAACCACTTTATCGATTACTCAGCTAATTACTACACAACACCATAATTTGACCCATAAGAAAATTGTTCAGCAAGGATTCAAAACCGTAATTTTGCTATAATAATATCATTCGTATGTTGCGAGTTTTCTTTTCTGATAGAGTTACACAACGTTCAAAAGCATTTTGATTTCGAAACGAAATGACTCACTGAGCTCCTTGAGTCTGATGGTTTTTCTCATGGTCGACTTGATTGGATATCAGCTTAAGCCAGATGGGAAGAAAACACTACACAACGATGAAGACTATTCTTCACCTTATAAAAAATGATCTCTAGCTTTTCATAGTGTTGCATGTTTGTTTTCACACAACCGGACGAGAGAAATGCCACTACCCGAAACAACCTCTAATCTCTTGAGTTGTCATTTCACGCCAAGCTATTTTTCCTTGTGCACCATTCGTTTCAACTAACTAGTTATCACGTATCAAAGAAAGCAGCAAACTTCTAAATTTTTGTATGCAACCACATAGCCACCTACGTCTTAACTTCAGTTGCTGTGACGGCGACGAGGTCGTAAATTTCGGCACCGTCTTTCGTGTCGAGGATAAGAAAGAGGGCGCACTTATCATCCGCATTCTCCTTGACCATTACAGAAGTCAACGGCATAATCGTAAACCGTTTCGTCTTTTTTAAAGTTTCCAAAGCCTATGAAAAATATAGCGGATCCTTTTCTACACTACTCTTAATATACTACGACAAATCGTCAATGTTTACAGTAATACCTTTAACTGCAACTTGCCATTGCCGTGTTTTGTGAGGAAAACCAGCATGTTTTCCAGCAGCACAACATGTAGTTTAATCGCTTTTTTACGACTAAACCGACACGTCAGTGGTCCGTGGTGCACAAGCCGATATCTAGAGAGGATTTCACTAGACCACCTTGCTTTAACTGACTAGCTGACTAACTAACACATTTCGTTAAGCTGCTCAACTCTCTTGAAAGAGTACATATGTAGTTGCTCTTGAAAGCTTGGAAAAAAATAGCATTACAAATAGTCTACCTTGTCAAGTCCAGGTGGGCGTAGTCATGGCTTTCATACTCCTTATCGGACGGGGTTGTGTCCAACCGCCGTCTCTTCAAGGCGGCGAACATTTTCGGCGTTTTCCTTTGCCGTATTCACGGCTCTCAAAATGCGTTTCGTCGACTCCACTGTACGGAGAAGATGATCGTATTCCTGGAACCACATCAATTTTGCTCTAGGCACTATCGTATCTCTGCACTGAGCGCCTTTCATCTCCATAATGGGCTTATTTCCAACGCATAAAGACACTATGCTATCATATTTCACAATATCATGCACAACATATTCTTGTGCAAATCATGTTCACGTTAGAGGCCAGAGAACCTTTTTTCATTTCACTTCTATCAAGGAAACTTGCAAACTAAAACTTGATGTAAGCGGATTCATCTTGGCAGCTTTCTTCCTTCAAAATAGGATAAAAGCTTCTTGGTAACGACAATGATAAATGTTATAGTAGAAGTACCACACAAACCTCGTTTTCCACGTCCGTATATTTGGCGATCGCCTCCAATAGAAGCGGATACTTTACCAGCCGTTGCATCTCAACTGGAAGATGGTCCTTCAGTTGCAATCTCCGACACGAAGGGTTTCCCCGGCTTCGGCGAGGAATCGCACCAACGATTCATCTTTATCCGTTCCGCATCTTGAATTATTCACTCTTTAATGGTTGATCCTTCTTTAATTTGTTTTTTGTCTTTTATTAGGTTACTTAGAAAACAAACAACGAAAGTCCAACTTTATCATGGTCGTCCAAATCAAGAACTTGAATTCTTGCATCCTAGAGAAGTCGCAAGGCATCAATCTCCAATACTTAAAAGCCGAAGACTGTCTCAGGCGACACTTTGGGAGTGCCATCTTCACGAATAACCCGAAATTTTCAGGAAACTAAAACTTGTCCGAACAACGGGCTGCTAGTTAAACGAAACCTTTTCTGGGAACTGCACTAATTTCGGCTATGCAATGTCCATTTGCCTGTGATCTGCTCTTTTCTAATCTTGGTATGCTAGTAGGAGGTCATTGAGGAATATTCTTCAGCCATTGATAATGATATCATCAGCACCCTGGAAGAATGAAATGATATGCAGCTTTTGCAACCAACTACTTTTAACCCATCACAATAAGGTCGTGTACGTGAATTCGAACCGCAATAGCTAAGAGCTAGGCAAAATTTGAATCTGGGCAATTCCTGCTGAAGTTATTGTTTAAACCATATTCCGGTGTTTTCGTGACAATTGCAACGGTAAAACGTCAAATTCCTCGCCGTTTATCAATTCCGGAGGCATTAGGTGGATTGAATGAACATCTGGTCCATGCCATTACTTGATGTGGTGTACTGATGTGTCAAGGCAGCGCTACCATCCTTGCAACAGCACTGTGGCACCAATTTGCCAGGCCGGGAGAGATGGAAGGGTTGGTGAGCCCCAGCCCCTGTGCGGAGTCGAACCAGTGACCACGAGTATTGCAGGTCATCTTTAACCACAGCGCCTCACGTGCTAACAGCACCTTGAAATAATGGCAAAAGATAAGGATACAGCGTTGGCCTTGATTAAACCCTTGAGCCCACACTGTTTTCGACACTATTTGGAACAGCCATACTTGAGGTTGAATGCTTATCTGGTCTGTACAAACTCGGTGTTGCATCAGATCAGCGTGTTTATTTGTCCGGCATACTTACTTGGGTACTTGGGCGGCCCGCCCTCACTGTTTGTGCGGCCCAGCATCATCTCCATTTTTTCGCAGTTTTGCTTGTTTAGCTATTGTTGTTCCCTGGAGCCTCAAAGTCAGCCAGGCCAAAGTCTGTCTCAGGTCTTCACCAGCAGAGGCAATCGTCCGCCGCCGTTGTGAATCAGAGGAAGATTTGCCACCATGCGACTAGATTGGTGCTGGAATGGTGACCAATCCCGGTATTTGTTTATTCTTTGCTAAGCATCCTGATGGAAACGGCGGATTCCTTCTCAGCTTCGGAGATCCTGCCAGGGAGATGAATCGCCCAGCTTCATATCACAGCCCAACACCCAGGAACACCTCCCAGTCGCGATGAGATGGTAAACAGTTGGAACGTTTTCCTGGATTCTGGTATATGGACTAATTATCTACAAAGAATAGCAGCAGTAATATTGTAACTTGTGACTTAGGTACATAATGAGACAAAACGAACCTTGTTCGTAGGACTTCGAGCGCATGCTCTTGGTTTTCGCAAAATATTGTGGTGACTTGCATGAGCTTTTCACCAGCTTCACCGTCAAACATATTTTCCAAGAGCTCACCTACATTTCCATAAACACCGGTGACACTAGGATCTCTTTCCCACTGGAATCATCTTATTATTGACGGACTAGTCCTCACTTTTTACCACTGTTCGCTGTGATATTTCTAAAGACCGAACTCCTTCTATTTTCATGCAAGCCCTATAAATTAACCACAAGGCAAACATTCCTCTCGCAATTTTGTAGCGATGCCACACCTCACAGAGGAGAGCCTGCTTGCTCATTTGTTCGCCTCTATCGCGAAAATACAGTAAATCGTTAGCTTAGTCGAAACACTAATAGTTTTAAAAAGTGTTGTAGCCACTAAAACATTCAAACGAGTATGAAAAATATGTACTTTCTCAACAACTTGTCGCATTTGACGTAACATTCCCATGTGGATCTCTATAACTTCGTCAACGTTTGCGAAGAGCAGTTCCCTTACATCCGAGGACGCCACGTTATTCCACGACATGGGCTTATGGAATACTCCAGACAGCACTTTCAAATTTCGCACATGTGTGCGCTCTGAGTGGAATAGTTCTGAAAAAAGCCATAAAAAGTGTCTGATTGTCATTTCATCATTAAAAGTATACATAAAATCAAACCCATGGTTGCAACCGCTACAGTGAGCCACGATAGGCGTGTATCACTGTTATCAGAACGCTACAGTATGCGTGTATCAAAAAGAATTATTGTTTTACTTTGTATGCTCACTTTCAGTTTTTCGAGCTATGTATATGAATAGTAGCAATATGGAAATTACTCTTAATGGCTTCTTGCCTATTTCTTTCTTTCGGTTCCAGGTGCTGCATCACATCCAATCCGAGCAGCTGATCCAACCGAGGTGCTTCGGTTTCCATTTCGAGATCGCTGTCGTTTTCCGAAGCACCGATACCTTCCATTTCTAGCACCACCATCTTTGCCTTAAGTTTATTTTTCTCTTGTCAAAAGTAATTATTTTAATTTCGAAAGTCTCATGTTAGTATTGAAGTACTATTGTTAACGTATTATTATTATTGTAGGTTCTATTAAAGTATTATTATTATATTTTCAGTTAGTGTCATTCAAGTCTCATTATTTCTATGTTTGGTTATGGAGGTGTTTGGCCAATTAGACACCAGTCAACTTTACCTTTGCAGACTTTCCAGAACGCGATATTCGCCGCCAAACTTGCTTCATCGTGATGAAGAATAAAGTAACGTCTCGTGCTTGATTCACGAGAACATAAGGTGTTACTACAGTTGATTTCGGAAAACTGTTGCTTCTACAGCGTCCCAGAGCAGTCGTTCATTCTCCATTCCTACTTTCGCTTTTGATTTCGGGTTTAACATCGTCTCCGAATCAACCAGTAAAAAGACCGAGAGAACGAACTGTTGCCAAAATGATAGTTCCCTCTCATTCACATCGCGGTAACAAAATCTCAGGTTACGCAGGGCGTCACTGGAACTGGATCTGACGAGCGCACGGACGACGGGCCATAGAGATTGCTTCTTACTCTGCACGTTTAATGATGGAACACTCTTCACAGACGCTGATTTTCACGCCCTTCTTGAAGCCGCACATCGCATCAAATTTTATGTGATCGCACTGCAAGAAACGAAAATCAAGGAGACCTACACACGCCAACTAAATAACGGAACCTCTGTCCTCCACGGAGGAAAGGTCCTTTTACCAAATGCTGGTGGTGTAAGCTCTGTCGCCCACCAGACCATTGCCCATCTCGTCGACTCGTACGAGATCCTCTCTTTCGCATATCCGTCCTCTGTCTTCAACTTACATGTCATACGAAGACGGTAATCGCTAATTGCTTCTCATCGACCGACGAAGCTGATAAGTTCGAATTGGATACCCTCTACTATAAGTTAGAGGAAGTTATCCGCAATGATCAAGCGTGCAATAGGTCGGAAGCTTCAACGCCAAAATAGGAAAGCCCAACGAGAGCCAATATAGGATCTGAAATTTTGGATTAGGAAAACGACACGAGAATGGAAACTGCCTCGCAGGACTTTTTTCTGCAGCACATCTCTTCCACGGAGCCCCATTTTCCAGAAGGAAGAAGGCCATCGCTCACATGGTACTCTCCTAGCGGTACGACTCCTCCGAAGACCGACCACGTTCTGACGAACAGTAGACTGTGTCCACTTTACACGCAGGTGGTCCCATCACAATTTACTGGTTCCGATCACAGCCTTCTTCGCGCGAAAGTTCGATTCAACCATAAGCTGGAAAATAATTCATGTCATCGACCATGAGGAAGAGGGCTAGCTGTATACGAAAAAAACATTTTGAACGGAATTCTCTTCAAACATTTCTGGCAAATTAAAGACGACGAAAACAAAGATGAAGAGCTTTTTATTGAACGACGTTGAAGTTGTGCCGAATTTGGATCAGCTCCCCGAGAAAGAATATCGGATCGCATTTAAACTACCACTACGGAGTTGCTTGAGTCGAGAAGAAACCTTAATATTTATCCTACTGCAAAACGCTTGGCAGAGCCACTAATAAATGACAGTTGTAGAAGATCTTTGTAACAGGATCTACATTGATACAGCCAGAAGCAACTGATAGAAGTAGCGAAGGTAGAACCAGATTGAAAAAATGCCATCGGCACTTGCGAAAGTGCTATGTCCCGTTGCCTGGCCTGATAAATATGGATTAAACCACTAAAAGTTTTCGCTTTGACAACGGGTTGATACCAAAAGGGTTTTTCACGAATTTTTCGCTTTCCACAGTCTGCGCCTCGAGCTCTGAAATTCCCTCTGGACGAAGACCACCTGGGATTCTTCCTTCCTAGATTCAAGTTACGATAGAAATTATGAAAAAAATGAGCTCTAGGACAGGATAACATCATCACCGAATTTATTGGAGCTGAAAGGCACAATATACATGTATTTCTCGCTATCCATTAGAAATCCTACATTTAAAAGTGAAAAATCCGCGACCGAAGGTGGACTTCACGCACTGCCATGTTCAACAACGGTGACGAAAGGATGTTCGCATATACCGACCAATATTCTTGTTGAGTGTACTCCACAAGCTGTTCACCGAGGATGCTCTTTTTGCTCGTATTGAAGAGAATGGAAAAGACTCAACCAGATGAATAAGCAAGATTTCAACAACGATTTTGCTGTATGGTTTCCACATCCGAACCCAGTGCAAAGACACGGAATGTTATCAGGAATACCACCTAAACGTAAAACATAAGCAAATCTGTCAGCGCTCGTCGAACAAGGGATGGAGCTTTCATCTACACGAAAACTAGCTGATCACTGTTGGAACTGCAGCCACAAAAATAAATCTCTTCTATTCATCGCTTACCATAAGCATAGAAAAAGTTGTTCGACTAAACGATACAATATCGCCATAACCGTTTGCTGCTGCACCGCAGTTGATAGTGAAGTCACTCGATCGGGGTGTTCATGGAAACTTCATATCAAATCCTTGTTTTGCTGATCACATGGTTATCTTAAGAGGCACCAGTGAAACACAGACGTCAATCAACGAACTAAACAAAGTGTGGAAAAGTACCAGCCAACGCAGAAATCGGAAAAAGATCCAATTCATAAAATACCCATAGTGTGAAGGCGATTAGATCAAACTGGACGGTTCTCTGATTACAAAAGCCATCTAGTGCATGTGCCTCAGGCGCTCAATAAACATGGAAAGCAATGTCAAAGAGGAGCTGACAGAAGAAAGAGAGCGACATGGGTCGCATTCAGACCTCTCAAGGAAGCCGCAGACCAACAAAAGAACTCGAATATCTACGTTCACCTATTCCATTCAACAGTCCTCCCAGCACCGTTTTAGGTAACAGAAACGTGGGACTATACTTCAACCAGTCAAGCATACTGTTCACTGCTCACAGAGCGCTTTAGCGGTGCTTTCGTAATTATAACGAGCAAACACAACATTTTAGTGAAAACGCTAACCAAGCTCTGATCTTCGACCTCTCCCATTTTCGAGATTCAGGAAAGCACACATCAATAGCTAAATATAGAAGGGCCTGCCATAATATAAAAAGAACAGACAACAGATAGGCGAAAAAATCTGTGAATAGGACTCCACGAGGACACGGTCTCCCCCTAGCACTGCCATAAACACGTTGGGAGGGCGTGTTCGCAACCATAGTTAATCATATTTATTTATACGATCTTATAAACTGATCTTGTTGAGCTGACGCAAGGTTGGTATAGGTTCTCATACTTGCCTGAGTGGATTGCATATCAATTGGGCCACTCTCGGCTTTGAAGAAGGTGAGACGGGCAAAACGGCCGCGGGTGTTGAGTAAGTGTTGTTAATGACAATCCGCTGTTAATGCAATAATAAAACAATTATTGCACAGAGATCTTTGATGAACTGTTTTAAAAATGCGTTTTTCTTTCCGAGCTTTCGAACAGCAGTCCTACAACCAGTTGAGACCATTTCAAAATTTTATCCAAGACGTAAAAGTATTGGAGACATACGGCACGCGTTTAAAACACTTTCGTATTATTCTGTTCTTTTGAATTGCCTTCCATGAAGTGATGTGAGGCTTTTATCAAAACCTGATAAACACTTCTGCGGACTTCGCGTTCAGAACTTTTTCCTTTAACCCTCTTTTCAGGAACTAGATTGGCTCACAAAGATTGTGTTCGTCAGAGCAATGCTTTTTATGCTCCAAAATCATTGAAAATAATGAGGAAAGAGGTAGAAACTTTGCCCTGCATTCACCTCTTGAATGCCAGTGTTTGCTTTTCTTAATTTATGTCAAAGAAGTATGAGCACTTTATATACAGGTATAAGTACGATAGGAGCGCGTGTGGCTCAGTGGCTTGAGGCGCCACTGCGACATACACGTGGAATCGATCCCCGCTCTCAAAGCCCACCTGCCTTCTATCCCTCCGGGGTCGGAAAATTGGTACCAAACTTGTCTGGGAGGATAGTAGCACTGGCTCGATACATCGGCAGGCCACCGCGAGTCATTGTAAAGGCCAGATATGCATTCAGTGACCTCCAAACGATGCTTAATAAAATCGAATGCATGGCGCACCCCTCAGGAATTGATCAACTCCGAAAGCTCTATCCTTTCTTTTATAAGCACGATCAGCGTTATCAAATGCTCGATTTAATAGGTGATAGTTCGATTGTCTTGTATCACGTAACTGTCGGTAGGAACGTGAAGTGCTGACCTCTGTGAAGAAAGAATCGTGTGAAACGTTGTCCTATACGCTAATATATCGAAAATCACGAAAATTGGGATCGTGATGTATTTCAATGACAGCTATTGGAGGATTGTTATTTGATGATTGTGTGCTATGGTAAGACAAGCATATGGCAGGATGATCACTGATAATAATTCTTTTTCCGAATCCTTAGGAATAAATAAAAAGATGCTCTTCTTATAATCATGGATCCCACTCACTTCAGGGATCTGGAACCAGACAATTTCGAGAATAGACTATATGCCACCATATGGTGGATTTACACACGGACCGACAATGACTGTTGTTTTGGTATGCGTTGAGATAGGGACTCCTTTTCAAATAGTATTTCATTGGCGCGTTTTTAGCGCAGTATTCAGAGATGTTCTGCAACACGTAGGTGAGCGTTGATTTGATGCTATGTTCCCGGATCAACAAGCCTTCACTCCTCCGGGTTCTGCAAATTGATAGCAGAATTGTTTGGGAGCATAAAAAGGCTGAATTGATATTTTCCAGAATAGACATTCTCTTTAACTCGGAATTAATCAATAAGGTACTGCTTTCTTGAATGCCTAGCCATGAGGTCGTATATTTATTTCACACTAGCCAACGCTTTGACCGATTTCGCCTTCTTTAGAGCTTGAAAAGATCAAATTAATACGTAATTTACATAAACTAAGGCTTAGTACAAGATCTCGGACTGATTTTCTTTTAAACATGAG